AGTCATTTTGGCTTGTACAATATTCTCGTTCAAAGACAGTGAATAAACTCAATTTCTTTGTTGAGAGAGATATCGATTTTCTCTCGTAAGTCTTCACGTACTACACTTGAATCTGACCTTCGCAGCACTCTCCTGTTTTCGACGCAGTCAAAAGGAGATAAAGGCTCTGCAGCGTTGCATCTTGGTAAGAAAAGAAAAATCGCGGCTAGCAAATTGAACTACTCCGCAATTCATTTTTCGACATTGCCTCATATATCAAGCCACACGAAAGCGAGTTATCCGCATTAGTGAAGCGGCACCATTCTCTGTTTCAAGCGGGCGATGCGGTATGTCGCTTGGGCAAGAACAGCGCAATACTGCTTAAACTTATCGAAAACAGAGAATCCGAGAGGGCAACTAGAAACGGGCTTTGGCGTATCTTCAGATGCGACCAAGATGACGTTTTTGATACAACGAGCGTGGAAAACCCTTTCAAACTTCTCAATGCAAAAACCATAGATTTCCGCAATGCTAAGAACATACGCACAACTTTCGGAGGTGGTCTGCGATCCGAAATGCAGCTCGAGAACCGAGCTGACAGAAGACACCAGCTCTATCGGCTGGCATTTGCAGAAGGAAAATTTACATCGAGACTGGGCTGATGCCATTTGTTCTCTGATGAGAGTGTATTCTGCCTCCGCAATGTGGTCCGTCGCGTTTCGGCCCCAAGAGAGCCGCCTATATTCTCGGTACGAAAAATAAAACCAAGTTCCCCAGGTAGGTCGTTTATCAGTAGGGAGTTGGGGCTCATTGTCATCCTCGGGATTGGAATGATCCATAGATATCCAAGACCATTAAATCGCTCCTCAGGTAAATCTCACATCTGAGAGATATCATGATTCCATCAGTAGGCAATTGCCATCCTGTGGATAATTCCATTCAACAGAACCAATCAATACGCTTCAATAAGTCGGCTTTGGTTCAATGCGTTTTTTTTGCGAGAGAAACAAGGATATTCAGGTGGTTGACTCCACCATGTTACACCAGATCTGAACCCATGAAAATGTTTTGGCAGAGACAGACGCCACCATGGCCGAAACTGGCCTGATCCGGAACTAACAATGCCGATGCCGCTGGGCAAATAATCCATGAGCGGGAGGAGTCGCTCACAGTGAAAACTATGCCGAAGAACTTGTGGATTTCTCTCCACGTAGAAATGAAGAATGTCGTCAGAATTGTGGGTTTTGGATTCCTATAATGTTTTTCCTTAACATTTTCTAGAGAAAATATATTTATAAAATAAGCATTAATGAAAAAAACGATAATTTTTTAACAAATACTGTAATTTGGAGAATTAAAACACAATATTCATAGAAAGATAAAGACGCCTTTTCAGAGTTATTTTGTTTTAAAATCAATAATAATATTATTAGACAGATAGAGTACTGTAATTACAGTTCATTGACAAAAATCACGGTAAGAATAAAAACAAAAAAAAAAAAAACGACACGCCAATGATTCGAACCTGCTGCATAGAGTCAGAATGAAACAATTCTATACCATGAAGCAACAAGACTTTCATATTTATTTATACATAATACTTATTGCCGGCCAAATCGGAACGTTTGAAAATGTCTTCAAACAATATTCAGATAATTACAAATAATGTTGAAAAAATGCATTCTTCTATCGAACGGAATTAAACCCGCAATTTTGAAATACATATATATTGCTTGCATCAGTGGATTCCTACCAACTACGGGCAAACCCTCATAACTTTAAAACGGTTCCATATCGCTACATTTTCACTCCAACTATGCGGATCATGCCGGCTAAGTAAGATATTTGTTAGAGATATTGTTTTGAAATATTTTTAGTTTTGCAAATTTAATCTTCTTTGATTTTTAAAATAGAACAATGTATTTTTCTCACTAGGCAATTTGATAATCTAAAAAAGAGGAAACAATCGCTAATTTGCTAATATTTTGATTGTGTTTTTGTGCATAAAATATATTTATGGACTGAATTTTAAATAAATCGTGCCAATTTGTTCTGTAGCTCCGTTGCAAACTGTCGCTTCTGGGGCAACGTGACCTTACGGCGGCCTCTCCCCCTCTCGTAAACGTGCCGAACCACAAGGCAACCTCCCAAAGGAGACAGTTCAAAGGGTTGTATATTAAATCTTGGGTTTGAAAGGGTTGAAATCTTATATATTAATTTAAAATTGCACATGGCAGAAAGTATAAATTTCTTTCAAAATATATAAAGCTATTAAACATGTTTACATCATTGCATTCGTCTTATTTATGAGTTATCTATTTCTAGTAGATAAATAACGTTGTTTCCATTTAAAAAAATTAAAGAATGATAAATTTCTCCGGAAACTAACAATATTTGAACAATATTCCTAAGGCAATAACTTGCCTCATGATTTCAATTGTTCGGGCCGAAAACTACTTTCGATTTCGTGAACGCGTTACAGAAGTTAGGATGGTCCCGTAGTTGGTGAACTCCCTGTTGAACACACAACTGTTTGAAGCAGATTAACAAATAAAAAGAATATGGTTTTGTGCATCCGCCCGGCAAAAAATAAGTTTGTTTTGTTTAAATTTTGGAAATAACTTATGCCCACAACAATGAAAATTATTCTTAATAGAACAAATTGAAATGAATTCGAGTTGCCAGAATTATTTCTTGATGCTGATTAGCCTTCCGATAGTATTCTTTTCTTGTCTTCCTTATGATCGTGATTTTTTTATTTTACGAGCGCATTCATGGTCAGTTTTGGTGCCTACGGAGATAAGAATATCATTATATTTTTGTAAAAGTAAAATAATAAAGCATACATTAAAGTTCATTTGTCTTCTTGATACGACTGCATTGCGTCACGCGGGCGGTATTTGGGATCGCTTTCTGAACATTTGCTGAAAATCTGTCAATGAGTTTAGCAGTTGACATGCCCAGTATTATTAGGACGGTATATACTTATCACATAGGTCCTTTTTTCAAATTTCCATGTGTAGAGTGTATTGCATTCAATAGTTGGGAGACCGCAGAGAACAGTCTTAGATACTGTCGCGTGCGCTTTAACTGGCAGCGCAAAAAAGTTTGCTTTGTCATCTATTTCACCAATTTATACCACTGATGTCCTCAAATGTTGTCGGATTGTTTGTTATTTATTGAATAAATTATATATTATTTAGTATATTTGTGGGTGTCAGTCTAAGAAGTGGGCTTGTGCATTAGTACAGAGATTCAAAAGCATTTAGAAGAATACTGAAAATTGGCTATTATATCCTGCTCCTATGGCAACATTTCAGCGATGTTATCTTCACGACTAATAGATTGCACTAGCACGGCAGTTATTCTTTTGCTATATATGCCAATCACTGAAATATGCATTTTCGTGTGAATGTATGCGAGATTGGAGGTCACGTTGAACGTCATTTTTCACCAAATGGTGAAAAATTAATTACCGTTGCGTGGCCGTGCTTTCCGTCGTTGTTATGAAATGTTTTAAAAACGGCGTTTCTAGTTCACTCCAGAGGGCTTTCTAATATCATGAAAGATTGTGTGTAGAACAATAATGTGAATAATCAGAACGCGATCGTTTCCATAATCTTCTGTTCTCAGTTCTCTTTCTATGTAATTCTGTAGTCATCGCTAGCTTTTTTTAACTGTATGTGGAAATGATTAGTGTTGTAAGTCAGCGAATGTAACGGTCGAATGACTTTATTTTATAAAACAATTTCACATGATATATGAAATCGAAATTGAAATAATAACACTATTGTAAAATCCTATGAAAACAGTTTTTTCGCAAAAAATCATTTTCACGAAAAAATATAAATACTTTAAATTAAGTTATGTGGAATTAGAGTTTTTAAATTTTTAGCTCAACTTTTCTTCGTAATGACTAGACATTCCTTAATATGCTTATTCTATTGTTTTGACTTTCACTATCAAGGAATTAAATCTCAAAACATTTAGCTAAGATTTTAAACAGATGATATAAAATTTTATTAGTTTTCCTCAAAACAGACTGAAATGGAAAGCCCATTTTCAACTAGAACCACTGAATAAGTATTTACGGACACAAAATTTAATGCTTAGATATTTTGATTGTCACGTAGTTGGGGACTTTGGCTTAGTTTTCAAATAAAATATTTATGTAATGTTTTGTGTTATTGATCCGGCTCATGCTGGCGAAAACTTTTCGAAATCCAAAACGTTACGGGCGTGTCAAAATCACCGTGCGAATATAATCGTTATAAATTGCACGGCGTACGGACTATTATATAATTATTGTTATCTCCCACTACATAATGCACAATTTTTAATTTAAGTATAAAGGACCAATTTTTCTAATTTCTTCACAATGTAGAATTATTCGCCTTCTGCGCGACAGCGAATTTCACCGTTTTATGCATAAAATTCGTCAGAAAATGATAAATGTTATAATTTTGATTTTTATTGGGCATTGGTAGAATGGATAAAAAATATCTATGTAGGCGGGAACCACACCCCGCAACTTCACAGGGCTAAGAACAAACACTTTGATACTGATCCATTCTTCCCCTCGCTGCCGTTTTTCCTTTTTTTTTCTTCTATATAACAATTTTATATTTAACGAACTGAAAGAAACATTACGTTTACAAAATATATGTCATTGGATTTTACTGGAGGAATCACGAAAGTCCTTTTTCTTACGTGCTAAACTATTTTGCTGTCAATGGATTTTATAAATATTTAAATCTCTCTCCAAATAAATAAAATTAATCTTAATAGCACGATCTACAGAAGTAGTTTCGGAAAAAAAACTGTAGATAGAGCTGTCGGCAAGCAGGGATGTCCAGAGCCATCAACCTATCGCGCCAAGGCATTTTCGACGCGAAACTTTATGTTTCCAAGAGTATACATACAGAATATATTTCCTATTGTGTCCCATTTTGGCGCCCCGTGTCCCGCGCTGTCGGCGCCTGGCGCCGCCCCTGACGCGCGCGCTGTGTGGTGTTGGTCAGGTGCTGCACCCGAAGCACGCGCTCATCTGCCAGCTGCGCCACTCGCTGCTGCACCTGTACGGGCGCGCTGAGGGCTACACGCTGCCCGAGCTGCCCGACCTGCTGCTGGAGCGTAAGGTGGAGCTGGCCAAGGACCTGCTGTCCGTCGCCGACGTGCTCAAGCCGGGCTGCTCCCGCCTCAGAGGTACTCCCCCGCTGCACGGGCACCAGACGCGCACGTCTTGTTGACCCCACTCCTTAACTAACAGTGGAATTTAGAATTAATGTTAGCAACGAGCGTTGTTGCCGAAAACGTATAATAACCGCATATATTCGATCCCGTGTATACTTCGATTCAATTATAGTGACTTCTGACTTTTAATGAGCTGGACACAGTTTTCAATCGGAAAGTTCGTAACGATTTAATTTTTGGTTTTGAAGCTCCCCATTTTGTAACCGCGACTCAGCTGATCAAAAGACATAAGTCACTATAAATAAATAGGAGAATAATACAAACTATTTTTCATTCAAAAACAAACTACGGATGGTATCATCAACATAACCGAACATCCACTGCTGTCGCTTTTAGCGAAATGACTCAAGAAAGCGTGCGCGGTCAGAATTCATTGTCACTTGTACTGCCCGCCCCGGTCCTCCCTGTTCTCGCCTCGCCAAACCTCGACCAGGTCCCTCAAAGCCCCGACCCGCTTCGCTCTCCCGCCGCACCCCCACTTACCGTCGAAATGGAAATGAGCAAGCAAAGTGAATCAAATAGGCCGAAATAAATAAACGATTTTTTTAAGTTAACTGAGCCTCGAGGAGGTGATGTGCGCAGGCGACTGTAAATTGGCAGATGTAATCTGTTTCACGTCGAACTCCGTCATCCTACCATAACTCTAAATTTTTACTTTGCAACGAAGGAGCACCACAATTGAAAGCTTGTGAAACTTGTATGTAGCTGAAAGCTAGTTAATCGGGAGTTTGTCACCACCACTTAGAAATAGAAGCAATATAGTTAATACACGTAATTGAACCACTAAATTATTGCAAGAAGTTAAACGTTGAACCTGGTAAGCTGAATAAAACATACTTCATTGAATTCAACTAGCACAAATAATGCAGTTGAATGTTAGTATGATATACCGTGATTATTTGTTGTGCACCCGATACATTTTATGTTTGACATGAACAAAATGAATAAAAAAGCAACTGCCATCCACACTATCCACTATCCACACTAGAATTGGTACGTCGTGTTGTAAAAAAAGAATACATAAAGTTACGTGCGAAGAGTGGAAGAGTAGATCTTTCCCAGTTCCGGGCAAGTGTGAGTTTCTTGTTAGGTCCAAGGGTTGAGGCAGGCGAGTTGTCACGCCTGACATACGGCAGAAAACGTTGGAGTGTTCGCGATACATGATCATATTCTCGCTAGAATGATTGCTCGCACAGTCACTCTTTAAGCAGCAAGTACCTTTGTGCAATATCCACGAATGAAATAAATTGCTGCAACAATAAAGTAACAGTACTGTACATAAACTTACGTGCGATGAAATAAGTTCATAGTACAGGCGATTGCAATTAGAAAGATTAGTTCTTTGCAAAACACGTTGAACTATCGAAGTAGCAAATTAATAGTCTTGCACGCGTGGGTATTGAATACACAGCGATGTGAAGTAAGCATGAAATAGCTACGAGGTGGCAAGGCGTGGGAGTACAAATGCCATTGGGCCGTAATTGATTATTAAAGTAAGGTAATAAGCACATCGTACAATGCACTAAACTCTTGCACTGATTTTGAATAACTTGCACACGCGTACATTGCGTATATGGCGATGTGAAGAATGAGCACGAACTTGAGCGGCGCGGATGTGCATGCAACAAGCGATTCTCTCGTACTGATCTGACTGTAGCGGGGCGCGGGTCAGGCGACCACAGCTGCCCGCACATTTCCGTTTGCAGCAAATGGAAATGCTTGTTACAGTACATCGTAATTAAAGAAGTAAACTTATTGTTATTACAAATGAAATGAATCATATGGTTACTTAGCATTTTCAACTGTGGACTTTATAATGCTAGTTTTAGGTTGAAGAATATTGGAGTGACAATGTTGCGTATAATGACTCAAGTCTCTCTTCACGCGCCGTTACCGTTACTTGTAGGATCGGGAGGCGAGGTGAAGCGTGAATGAATTAAAAGAACCAGGGTTCTTGTGCGAGCTTGCAAAATGCAGTATTAAAACACTTTACAGAAATGTTTCGTACTGAAACCTATCAGTATTGATGTGCGTGTCGAAATAAATATTAATTTTATAAATAATTTGCTTGCACGAACATAACCCACCTATTTTAATACGCGCATTTGTTTGACTCTCCGCCTATTGCATTCCGTATATGTTCTATTCATCCATTTTGTTGTAGCCGTTTGTGGGAAATAAAACCACTGGCGGTTGTGAGGGAAGGAGCGGGACGAGGGAGAAAGAGGACGGCGCATGCGCACCGGTGGTTTAATACATTGATATACTAGGCTCGTGCTTTGGGTCCCACTAAACAGGGGCCCCAAAAAGTTAGTATATTGCGAGTTTAAATGACAAAGTGATATAATAAACAGCGCTGGCTTTTTGATATTTAATGAATGAAACCTGTCTGTTTCATGACTTAATCTACATATATAACTACGCATTTTCACTAGTTTTCCTTCTCGATTTGTGCTCATTCTTTCAATATTCTTTTTTGTGATAATATTATAATAAACTAAATCTATTGAAAAACTATCCTTCACCTCTAACTGCAGAGGCATTTTCAGCTGATGCTCCATGATTGTTACTGATTCCGGGCGCGTCTAAGCTTAAGGTCATTAGTCCGTAATTGTGGAACATTTTTCCCTCGGGAGGTGTTGATGATCTTCCCCCGCTGGATGGCGAGATCCGGCAACGACCAACCGCTGACTAGCGGGGTTTTCCCCATCCAGGTATCTCTCATCTCCCCAGAAGGGACAAGCTCCCAACTAATCTTCCACCATGTGTGGTAATGTGGTTCGTGTAAGTGTAAGTGTGTGTGAGTAAGGAGCGAGGATAGGGTAAGGAAGAGGAAGGAACTTCGCGCGTGGCCTCTTTGTTAGAGTACTGCTCCGGTCTGGAGTTGATCGAAGAAACCAAGGAAAACTATCGATTATAACAGCCGGCCGCTAGAATCCTCCTCCAGACAGCGACTGAATTTGAACTTGCTGACAAGGTAGCGTCGAAAATCTTGCCACCGTCGGGATTCGAAGCCCCATTACCTCCCGGCCAGAGGCCCTGCACTGACAATTGATGCCCTGCTGTCGCTTCAGCTTATCTGGCTTGCGGAAATACATTTAGCGCAGCGATTGTTTCCAGCGAACCTGGAACAGAAAACGGAAGCGCAAGAATGGCAAGAAACAGGTCGCAGGAGAGAAACGGCCCTGCCACTCACGTCCGCTCTGCCCGGGAGTCTTCTACTGATTGCGACAGGAGGCATGAGGAAAATAAACGGACGGTGTGTGATCTGTAGACTAGGATATTCTCTGTTCAGTCATGTGAACGTTGATTTTGACTTTGATCAAAGTAAATGGGGGTGGGGGCGTGGTCGATCTTTACCACAAAGAAATGTATTCATTTCATATTCGTATTATTTGTATTAATGTTGGGAAAACTGTGCTGGGGTTGAGATATTTCTCGCGCAACTCTCCTTGAACGATGAATTGAAGAAATGAGGATAGAGTTGGGGTATTAGTTTCAAAATCGGCCACTAGATTTTATGAAGCAATGCCAATCTCTGGAGAATCAGTCAAACCTTCGCACCTTTTTGAATAATTTGAGTTCTTTCTCAGAAGTTCCAAATATCTCTCGTGATGCATTTTCTCCTGCATCGGACATTTCTATAGATTTTTTGTAGAAAATCATGGACAGAAGTCTTTGGTGCTTGGACAGTGTTTGGAATGTTGTCATCAGTGCTCGCAGCGAGCTTTTGCCTTCAACTTTTTCTGTATCAGTGAGGCGGAAGCTAGGTCATCGTTCAAGAAAAATTGGGCGATTAATACTCCCTAGTAGTTTGTCATTCCTCTAATTGGAGAATGCGCGATATCCCGTATCAAAAATGCACGTTTCGAGTTTACTATTGAAACCACTATGAATATAAATAACACGGGCACCATTACATTCAATATTTAACACGTGCCCATTTGATGTCTTCATTCATACTTCATTTTCTTTTCAATTTGATTTGAGGCAGTTCTTACAACTGGGGTTAGGAATTCCGGGGTTGAAGTAAACTTGCGCCTGTAACACGCAATGTTTGCATGATCTGTACAGGACCCAGCTCCTCGTTGCCATGGTAGCGTAAATCGGTTTCAAGCAGGCGGAGCCATGACCCAAATATTTAGATTTCTTTGGAGGTTAGTAAGAAGCTAAGTTCTGAGCTAGTACATGCTAGCAATTCTCTGGAGTTCACAAGTAGCTGTGTTGATGAGATGATGCGGGAGAGCTGAAAAACCCGCTCTGCCAAAAATAAAAGTAAAAAGTTTACTTAGAAGAAAAGTAAAAGTGAGATGCAGAGCGAGAGCTGCGCACAACGGTGCTCGGATGCTCTGCCCTGCTCCTCTCTTCTGATGAGCCTTAGAAAATGTCATTTAACACAAGCGCGCGTAGCCTCAATCAACGGCAGCTCCAACTACATTTCTGGGCGCCTCTGAGTTGGCATTTAAATTAAACTTTCTATTTGCATATCACATATTTTACTACCGAAATTAAATCATGGAAATTAAATAAATACGAGTTAGTACAAATTTAAATACATATTTACATTTCTCGAAACAAGGACAAAAATTATGGAAAAAGATTAATTTGTGGACGTAATATCCAAAAGATTAATTTTTAACGTATAACAAAATTTCGAATATAAGAAAGAAACAAATAAATATGAAATAATATACCAATTCTAATTTACGTAGCATTCAACTGCCCCCAACACTTCTCATATTACGATCACGAAGCGCGGGAAATTCAAAACGGTCGACTATGCTTGACGCCGAATTAAACAAAAATATTTTTCGAAAAATTGAACATGACGTCATTCAAAGATCTGTTTTTGATGAACACATTTCATTAAGAAAAAAAAACTCATTGTGTGGGTGAAGGCAATGGCGTGGAGAAGCGCGTAGGCGGAGGCTGCGGGCGCGGCGAAAGGAAAG